CTCAAAAAAACAAAAAAAAGAACAATGTGTAAAGGGCTCTTTTAAAAACATCATTTCACAATTTTAAAATATCTAATTGTGCTTTTTATTAAGATAAGTTGATTTTTTTGCTAGAATTGTTTTCAGATTTATTGCTGTTTTCATGAGAAAACTAGAATTTTACTTCAAATTTATGACTGTAGCTGAGCACAGTGGCATGTACCTATAATCCCAGCTATTCGGGAGGCTGAGGCCGGAGGATCACTTGAGCCTAGACGTTTGAGGCTGCAGTGAGGTATGATTATACTGCAGCCTGGGTGATGGACCAAAACCTGTCTCTAAAAAAAAAGTAAATAAATGTATTCCTGCACATGTCAATGGCAAACACCAGTCTTACCTGCTACAAAAAATGTTTTTCCTTACTTTTTTAAAGCCGTTATATTGGCTCGGCGCCTATAGCTCAACTGGCTAAGGCGCCAGCCACGTACACCTAAGGTGGCGGGTTCGAATCCCCAGCCTGGACCCGCCAAACAACAATGATGGCTGCAACCAAAAAATAGCCAGGCGCTGTGGCAGGCGCCTGTGGTCCCAGCTACTTGGGAGGCGGAGGCAGGAGACTCGCTTGAGCCCAGGAGTTGGAGGTTGCTGTGAGCTGTAATGCCATGGCACTCTACCCAGGGGGACAGCTTGAGGCTCTGTCTCAAAAAAAAAAAAAAAAAAAGCCGTTATATTTCTAGAGATCAAGTACTTCCCTATTTACCTTTTCTTTTGTTCTAAGAGAAAACAAGAATAATAATTACTTAAGAAAAAAACATATGGAATATAATATTAATGATTTTCCTCCAGTTTGTGGTATGACTCATCTCACATGGTCCCTGAAGAGGTAGGGTTCTTGTTCTCCACTTTAAAACTGGAAATCTAATTAATTGGTATTGGATTTCTGGAGTACAGGCAAATGGAGAAGGGGACCAGGAGGAATTATTCTCCAAGCAGCCACCTGGGAGGAAAAGGAGAGTCAGAAAAGATTATAGAGGCATCCTTGGACAGTCTCTCCAATCAGAGTTTTGCATTTGTAAAACCGCACTATTAAAAAAATTATAGATTATGAAATGTCTGATTTGGGTTTTGTGTTTTTGTTTTTTGAGATAGTCTCGTTTTGTTGGCGTCGGTAGAATGCCATAGTATCATAGCTCACAGCAACCTCAAACTCTTGGGCTCAAGCAATTCTCGTGCCTTAGCCTCCCGAGTAGCTGGGACTACAGGCACCCACCACAACACCCTGCTATTTTTAGAGGTGGCATCTTGCTCTTGCTCAGGCTGGTCTCGTACTCGTGAGCGCAGGCAATCCACCCAACTCAGCCTCCCAGAGTGCTGAGATTACAGGCATGAGCCACCTTGCCCGGCCCGCAATGTCTGATTTTAAATCAAAAAGAAAAAAAGATCATAACTATTTTACAATTGTTAACATCTTTTGAGGAATGAAGAAGAAAAGGATAAAATTATTATTTTCATTGTTACTCTCAGGTCATATTCTTTATCGAAAAAAGAATAACTGGCTCAGCGCCTGTGGCTCAACTGGCTAAGGCGCCAGCCACATACACCTAAGGTGGCAGGTTCAAATCCAACCTGGGCCCGCCAAAACTACAATGATGGCCGCAACCAAAAAAAATAGCCGGTCATTGTGGTGGGCACCTGTGGTCCCAGCTACTTGGGAGGCAGAGGCAGGAGACTCGCTTGAGCCCAGGAGTTGGAGGTTGCTGTGAGTAATGATGCCACAGCACTCTACCCAGGGTGACAGTTTTGAGGCTCTGTCTCAAAAAATAAATAAATAAATAAAAAGAAAAAGAATAACTTCAGTAGTTAAAGTACAGCAGGGAAAAATGATGAAGTCAAGGCATAGAGGAGAAATCTTGGTTTCCAGACTTTGAAAATTAAATTTTACTACCCCTTTCTTGGATTTAAGACTTCCGTCTGTAATAATGACATTTCATAAGGGTTTCTTTTGGGGTTTTTTTTTTTTTCTCAATTTTATAAGGTTTTGATCATATGAAACTATGGGAAGAGCTTTCTACACTTGAGTTTACAGATATTTTTGTAACAAAATATATTTTTATGGCTAATGGATGCAAAATACAGAAAAGTAAATATAGTTGGTGATGACTGAGAAAATCGCCTTACTTAAAAATATTAAATAGTATGTTTTAGCATAGTAATATTATAAGGCCGTATTTCTGGGAATTTTCTATCCCTTATATTATTGATTTTCTTTTTAATATTGATAATGGTGAAAGCACAGTTCAACACATAACTGAAGAATAAATGACAGATCAGCTAGAAAATACATATATTTCAGACATTCTTGTGAAGACAGGAGTCTCTTTTATTTACCTTATAGGAGTTGAAAATGTTCCATACTCCTAATAGATATAAATAGCCTTTGTGTTAGTATTGCAACATTTTTTTCAAAAGTTCTTGCAGTTAATTTATAGACTTATTTAAGGTTTTCTTCCAAATTACATGCTCTGCTAAAATAATTTCAAATTTATCTTGTAACAATTGTTATTTTATTTTTCAGCCAGAGATTGCTAGAGCTACAGCTTAAAAAAAACAATTTAGCAATATTTCTTTGAGACGGGTTTGAACCTGCCACCTCTGGCATATGTGGCCAGCGCCCTACTCCTTAGAGCCACAGGTGCCACCCCAATGTACATTTATTTTTTCATCTGTTTGTCAATGAAAAAGATTCTAGGAAAATGGAGGGGGGGGAAGGAGGGGAGGCATATGAAATCATAGGCTGAGCCAATCCAGGGGCTGGAGAGCCCAAGTTATCTTCTGCCTCAGGAAGGGCTGGCTGAGGAATTGGGATGACACAAAGCCTGAAGAGAGAGCAAGAGTTACGGGACCCAGTAGAGAGGAGGTAGCAAAGGGAGCAAGATATAAAGGATACCAGGACCGATGTGTCCTCACAATGCTGAGTTACACGGGCTGCCAAACAAGCCATGTCTCTGTGTAGACGCGCTCACAGTTTTTTAAATCTAAGGAAATGAATCAGGAATGTAGCAAAGAGATGTACCTTGCTTGTGATAAACTCTGCAAGAAATTACTGTGTTTAGCCCTCTCTATGGAAGACGTAATAAATACAAATATGCTAGTAGTAAGTTGCATTTTTAAATGACTTTGTAGGGGTTTGTTTGGTTTTGGTTTTTTGAGACAGAGTCTCACTCTGTTGCCCAGGCTAGAGTACCATGACATCATCATAGCTCACAGAGCCTCAAACTCCTAGCCTCAAGTGATCCTCCTGCCACAGCCTCCCAAGTAGCTGGGATTACAGATACCCACCACAGTGTCCAGCTATTTTCCTGTTCTTCAATATAGACAGGGTCTCGCTCTTGCTCAGGCTGTGAACACATGGCCTAAAGGTCTTGAACACCTGGGCTAGGATTGCAGGCATGAGCTACCACGCCCAGCCTACTTTATAATTTTTCAAGAGTGTTTTATGCATATTTTTTATCCTGTTTACTCTTGACACACTTGATGGCATTTAGAAAACAAACAAGGAACCTGAGGCCTTAAAAAGTTGAAGTGACTTGTTTTGAGTCATACTTTGAAGGGGCTGAGTTCAAACTTGAACTCCATGGGTCATTTGCCCCCTTCCACTGATTTAACACACATTGCCGAAGCTCTCCGTCATGGGAGTCGCAAATTTGGAAAGCCTGCATTATTCCTAATTATGCTTTACAGCTGCAAATTAAATCTGCTTTACAGATTTTGGAAATACTGTATAAAATGGCTCGGCACCTGTGGCTCAAGTGGCTAAGGCACCAGCCCACATACACCTAAGGTGGCAGGTTCGAATCCAGCCCGGGCCTGCCAAACGACAATGATGGCTGCGACCAAAAAATAGCCAGTCGTTGTGGCAAGCGCCTGTGGTCCCAGCTACTTGGGAGTCTGAGGCAGGAGACGCGCTTGAGCCCAGGTGTTGGAGGTTGCTGTGAGCTGTAATGCCACAGCACTCTACCCAGGGGGACAGCTTGAGGCTCATGTCTCAAAAAAAAAAAAAAAATACTGTATAAAATCTTTTTCACAAAAAAGTTTATCAAAGTCATGAGAGCAGACTGATCATGAGTGCTAATTTTGCTTTTAGTTTCAACGATAACATCAAGTGTAAACAAGAATAATTTACACAAGTACAAATAATCAGCACGTCATCCTCTTGTTTCTTGCAAGTTGTTGAGATGTTTCTGTTATGCTTTAAACTTTTTTTAGTGTTCTTGAAATAACTAGTTTACGCATATATTGATAAATATGCATCTTTTTCTCCTGTGAGCTTTCTCACAAAACAGTCTGACTGTGTGAGGGGTGCTGTCCCAGGCCTCCCTGCCTTCACAGGCCTGAAAGCTGCCTTGCCTACTGGGTACCTCCGTACTAGGTCAAAGGGCAGCCAATGAGGTCTCCGTGTGCCTAGGGGGGGTGCCTCTTTCCTCTTTTTTAAATAGTTAAGTGCCTTGAACAAGTCAGGGACCAATCTTTCTAGCCACTTTCAATGAGAATGTGAGCAGAAGTGCGACAGTGGAAGCATCAGGGCAGACGTGGCAGGGTTAGGACTCCTTGTAATTTCCTCTGCAGAGGTGTGCAAATGTATCTCCAGTGGTACTGCTGAGTTCTAAACAACGTACCTGCCTTTATCCTAGTTTAGAGAATCTCTTGAGTAGGAACTAATTGTGCCATGGTGTAGAATAGTTTCATAATCGAGAAAAAAATGCCTACCAGGGACTGGCATGAAACCTCTAAACTCATTTTCTCAGCCGTCTGAAAGGGGATCCAAACCACAGGTTCTGAAGGTGAAAAGTTAATGTTCTGGCTCCTTCTAGGAGTTTGTCCCATTCGAGGGGAATGGGGATCAACTCAGTCTAACTCTTCTAGCCACATCTGATCCCACTTGAGAATTACAATAAAAATATTTGTGTCGCTCTGTCCTTGAAATAGCACTGCCATTTAATTCACTCTTATGTTTGTTGCAGAGAAAGCAGCAGCTGCCAACATAGATGAAGTACAGAAGTCAGATGTGTCGTCCACGGGGCAGGGTGTCATCGACAAGGATGCTCTGGGGCCTATGATGCTTGAGGTAGCATACCCTCCTTTGGTTCTGTATTTCAGAATGTTATTGATCTTCACACTATTGCATTGAATTCCAGGGGAATGTAGTTTAAGGGGAATCTACCAAGTACTGCCAACCTCTAGAACTCAACTAGTAGGTATCTATATGTTCTGGCTCCCGCCACCAGCTCATGTAAATTTGAAATTCACATACAGAATTAAATTAACTGGACTAGGATATACATTGACAGGTTTTAATTGCCAGTTGAGCATTCATTTTGGAAAAACATATTCATAAGTCCTGTTTAATTCTGTGCTATATTTTAGTCTGAAATGTTCTCAGAATTATTACATTTTATATGTTCCATATACATGTGCCTATATACTGGTATACAGATTAAAATTTGAGGCTCACAAGAGGATGTTTATACTTTTTTTACTTGTGTTATTTCAAACTCACTTATTTATCTCATAGTGAAGAAAACTGAAATAGGCAAAAGGAACTTGGAAGATGCACAGAAGTGTATTGGTTAGTCGTAACTAGCTGCCTGTTCTGTCTAGAATTTACAAAGTCCAGTTTTCCTTTTTTATTAACTATTACTAAATTCCAAGGGCTTTGCTGTGCCTGTTCTAAAATTAAAATTCAAGAAGTAGGGTATGGTTAGATGAGAGAAAAAATGTCAGTGAATATTTAACAAGAAACAGAGGAACCTTGAGACATAAATTATGTCAGTTCTCAGGATAATTTGCTCTGCTGATGATTTGATGAAGTACCACGTGGCCAGACGCTTTGCAGTGTAGTCATTATAGAATCAGCCTACTGCAGCAGTCATGCATACATAGGTCACTATGAAAGTTTTGAGACAGTGTCCATTAGTTCACTTCCGAGATACACAGTTGACAACGTCCTCCCTGTCTCACCTGTGCAAGTTTCAACTTGCCTGGAATCTGTTGTTGGGAGGGCTTTGTTTCCATCTACGTGGATTTTATGTTTCTTTATTTTTGTGTATCTCAAAACTTTCGTAGTGACCCATATATACAAGAAATTAAGAGTTTTTATTTTATCTTATTTTTTGAGACCAAGTCTCACTACATTGTCCTCGGTAGAGTGCCATGGCATCACAACAACCTCAAACTCTTGAGCTTAAGTGATTCTCTTGCCTCAGCCTCCCAAGTAGCTGGGACTACAGGTGCCCACCACAATGCCCAATGTTGTTGTTTTTGTTGTTACAATTCCCGTTGTTGTTCAGCTGGCCCAGGCTGGGTTCAAACCCACCAGCCTCTGTGTATGTGGCTGGCACCGTAACCACTGTGCTACAGGCACCAAGCCAAAATTAAGATTTTAAAATAAAGATAACCAGTAGTCACTCAACCTTATCACCTCTTTTTTTCACTTGATGCATGGAGTGATATTTATTTTTAGAAAATCTAATTCTCTAAAAATCTACCATATAATTGGAAGAGTAGGGGACACAGAATGGATTTAGAGATCATATAACCCAATCTTTGTATTTAGAAATGACAACATTTGTTCCCTGGGGCTGGACCTGCTGGCCAAAAGGTTTAAATGACCCAGTATTGGCCCTTGCTTATCTTCTCTTGAATCACTGGCTTAAAAACATTGAACCACAAGTTCCAGGGGGGAAGCAGAAACATACTTAACCTGTTCTTCCATAGTTGGCAGGGCAGTAGAAGCCAGAGAATCCTGCTTCCCACTTGGTTCTTAGAAGCAGATAATGAAAACTGTAACTAGGGGGACGATTTAGAATTAGATGAAATAAAGTAGTTAACTTCCTTTGGAAATAATTTTGAATTATAAACAGAAAATTGATTTGAAAATTATGGTAATCTGAATTATTACAACTGGGAAGTTTTCCATGTATCTGTGTTTATTCATTTATATCTGTGTAGAAAAATTAGGGTAGAAACTCCTGGGAAGACTTGAGGCTTCCAAAAAGAAATGCTTAGAGTAACCACGAGACTTTTGACTCAAGCCCTTTGAAAGCAAGTTCATTAATTGCAGAAATCAGAGTGCCAGATGCCTGATCTCATAAAATCAAATCTACATTTTTGCCATTTTAAATAGTCTTCTGAGAATTCAGTGCATTGATTGAAGAATGTATATAGCAGGACTTTAGTTGGAGAGGTAAGTCTTGAATCTAGTAACTTACAGTTTGAATGTAAATCGTTATCCCTGTTTACATGTGATCATTTAAACAGAGGAGTCGTCTTCTCATGGAGCAGTTCCTAGGCATAGATGCACATTCATGCTGACATCATAGCATAGTGGTTGCTAGGCAGCAAAACCAAATGTCAGCTTTTTTCATCAGCGCATATCATAGTGAGCTTTAAAAAAAACACAGTTTGATGAGATGAAGCAATTTCATTATACCAGAAATCAGTCTTCTTACTATGATTGAGAAGTAGCATACACTTGCAGAAATGAACTATAGGTAATATATTTATGAAAATCTGGCTCGGTGCCTGTATCTCAAGAGGCTAGGGCTCCAGCCACATACACCAGAGCTGGTGGGTTCGAATCCACCCCAGGCCCACCAAACAACAATGACAACTACAACCAAAAAAAAGCTGGGCGTTGTAGCGGGTGCCTGAGGTCCTGGCTACTTGGGAGGCTGAGACAAGAGAATTGCTTAAGCCCAGGAGTTTGAGGGTGCTGTGAGCTGTGACACCATACCACTCTACCCAGGGCGACAGCTGGAGACTCTCTCAAAAAACAAAGAAAAGAAGATCCCTATCAAATGTGTTATCTAAAGCGGAGAATTCAAAAGGGATATTAGGTACAGAACTAATATGCCAACTAACTTCCTGTCTCCTCTGCCAGGCACACACACTTGCTCGTGGTTCTCAAAGGTTAGGGCCAACTTACTAGGGAAGGTTATTTACATACAGTCTTGCTTTGCCTTACGTGTAGTTTATACCATTGAGAAAACCTGACAATATTTAACAGAAACTTAAAACCAAGTTGTGTCATACTTAAAAAAAAAAAAAAGGAGAAAGAGTTATTCCCTGGCGCCTTATGGTCAGTTCTAATTTGAGAGAGCACTTAGTTTGGTGATGAAAATAGAATTAAAGATGGAATATATTTAAAGATAGCTCACAAAATAGGAGCTGGTTAAATAATGACATAAGGAAAAAACAAACCCGGGAAAAAGTAAACGCTTTAGTCTCCATCTGTACACACTGTAATATGGGTGTGTACATGTGACACTGGCATGAAGAAACTAAGTGGCATGAATCAGCTAGACCAGGTGGCCCTGTTCCTCGGTGCCACTGGCCAATATAAAGCCTTTCAGTCCTGACCACTCACCCGATCCATAAAATAGTTCTGACAAGCGAAGATCAAAAGGGGGTAATGTAACTAGGAGAAATGCACTGAGCCCCTACCATTTCTATCGTCCCAGCAAAAGTGTTGGGAAAATGGGCTCGAGGTGAATGGCAGAGGAGGGTACACTGCTTCATGGGCATGAGAAGCATGAGCTTTGGAGTCAGCTGTGCCACTGACTTGGACAAACTTAATCTCTTTGTCTTTTTTTTTTTTTTTTTTTGGCAGTTTGGGGCCGCGGCCGGGTTTGAACCCGCCACCTCCGATATATGGGGCTGACACCCTACTCCTTTGAGCCACAGGCACTGCCCTCTCTTTGTGTCTTTATTTCCTTCTTTATAAGTCAGGAAGATAAAACATCCCTCCCGTTAGGAGTATGTCAGTATCAAAATGACACAGTGTGCATAAGGCACAGTGACCGTGCTGGATAGCTATTACAGTTCTTTACTTCCTGACACAATCCTAGAGTCTTCGTGTCCTTCCCTAATCCGGAATGGAAGGGGGACAGAGTGGGGCTCGTAACCCCAGACAGGACGCGAGCTGCCACCGTTTAGGTGATCTGGAAACCTGCATCTTACGCTAGAGAACAATGAGTAATGGAGAAGGGCACGATTAGTGCCTTCTCTGGACGGGACAGGGCTAAAGTCCCCATGAAGACTCATTCCTCATATCAGAGACCCTTCTAGACCTTTCCCAAACAGCAAAGGATCTGTACTTCTTCAGAGGTGTGAGATCATCTACGATTCTTCTCACAAAAGTAGAAATGACATTGGAGGTTGTATAACATGACAAACTGTAAAGTGAAATTACCATGTGTTGGGGTCATTAATAGTTGTCCTTGGCCCTGTGGAGCACACCAGTCTCATTTAGCAATCCAGGTAAATGCCTATACACATTCACTTGGCAGTAATTATTTCCTAATAAATTAACCAAGTGTTTGTCATTTAGTTAGTGACAGGAAACCCTGATTGGGCTCTTTTCTGCTTAACTAAGATGGAATAATTTCTATTCCATCAAGAGAAAATGTATTAATTGTTTCTCAAAATGGGGACAGGGTGCGAGAGATCTCTTTTCTATCTGTGTACGAAGCATAAAGCAGGGGTTCTCAACCTTCCTAATGCCGCAGCCCTTTAATGCAGTGCCTGTGTGTTGCAACCCACGGGTTGAGAACCGGCCTTAAAGGGATTGTTCCCTTCTTAAAAACTGCATGTGATTTCGTGTCCCACCTTTTCTAACACAGTTTGTGCCTTCTCCTTTAGGCCCTTGATGGGTTCTTCTTTGTGGTGAACCTGGAAGGCAACGTCGTGTTTGTGTCAGAGAATGTGACCCAGTATCTGAGGTATAACCAAGAAGAGCTGATGAACAAAAGTGTATACAGCATCTTGCATGTTGGGGACCACACAGAATTTGTCAAAAACCTGCTGCCAAAGTCCATAGGTAATGGTTGTCTGCTGGGTCTGCTCCTCTTCCCATCCACACACACGCATGCACGTGAGCACACGCACACGCTGCTGGGTCTGCTTCTCTCCCCATACACACGCACGGGAGCGCACACACGCACATTATCTTGGCTGGAGTGGGTAAATTAGAACTTCTTTATGCTGGATGGGGTAAGAGGGCCCGGGTAGTTTTTTTAGAGTTGCTTGTGTGAGATATTCAAGCTTAGAAGTCAGAAGGGAAAGGGTATGTTCAGACACTGATCTTGAATGAATGATTATTTTGATCCTATATTTCAAGGACACAAAAGCGATTGAGATGGAAAGTACTTTGCGGCAAATACTTTCCAGGAGTTTGTTTTTATTGTTTTCTAAGAAGGTAACACATTGCCTCCCCCTGTTCAACGCCAGCCAACTCAGTTTTGTCCATTTTCTCAGTGACCATCTAAAAAGTCAAAGGTCATGAGAAATTTGTTCGACTTACTTTGAGTCCTACAGGTGAAAAGAATATTTTGTGTGGGTGCCCAGCATTCTAAGAATAAAATGTTACGGAACAGCTGGTGTGTAGAGAGGTTCAAACCTCAGCCTGGCAGCCGTGCACGGCTCTGTCCCACAGTGGCCAGAGGCACCACGGGTCATCAATGCTGCCTCCCCAGCCTCCTCTCCTTACCTCAGGTGGCCTGACTTCTTGTACTTGGGAGCTGCTGTCCCAGAGCGTAGGTGACAATGAAGGGCCACGTTTTGAAGCGGGTGACTCACGGTGTGGGCCCACTCGAGTCGCTTGCTCTGCAGTGCTGCGGTTCCCACTCACTAAGTGGTTCTTTTTTTAATATTCTCACTTAAACGGATGATAAGAACATCTTCACAGATTGAAAGAAGTACAGAATAAGATCAAATTCTGAGTTGGCAAGTATTTCTGTTCTCTATCTTAAAACTGTTTCTGTTAGCTGGTCTCATTGTTAGCACAGTGAGTAGGAAAAGATCCTTTTCCAGTTCTGTTACGGCTAGCCTTCCCTTCAGATGGTAACTCTGTTCTGAGTGACTGCGACAGTAACACAAAATGTCTGAACACTTGGAGTGGGACTCCTGCGTTCTATTCCCTAGTAAATGAATAAGAAAATGGGACTTTTTATTTCAAGTAACTAATATTTCCAGATCACTGCAGAAATTTTATGACTTCCTCAAAGGACCTGTACTTATTAATTCGCTGTTATTAATCTACTTTTGCCTTACTTTATATTTTACCTTTTTTTTCAACTTATTAACCTGAGTTAGTAAGAACTCCTTTTTTCTTTCTTCTTTGATTACTTTATGTAGTCTCCATTTCATAAATAAGCTTTTTGAAATGCTTATGGTGAAATAGATTTTCCAAATGTGTATAAAGCCATAATAAACTAGTTCTAGCTTCTTCAGGTTTTTTTTTTTTTTTTTTTTTTTTTGAGACAGAATCTCACTCAGTCGCCCTGGGTAGAGTGCCGTAGCATCACAGCTCACAGCAACCTCAAACTCTTGGGCTCAAGTGATCCTCTTATCTCAGCCTCCCAAGTAGGTGGGACTGCAGGCACCTGCCATAATGTCCCACTAGTTTTCCTGTTTGTAGAGACAGGGTCTCGCTCTACTCAGGCTGGTGTTGAACTCCTGAGCTCAGGTGATCCACCTACCTCGGCCTTCCAGAGTGCTGGGATCACAGGCGAGAGCCACCGTGCCTGGCCCTTCTAAGTGCTTTCCACCTACTCACTTCAGAGAGCATATTTGCTTTTCATATGATTTACCCATTTTTGATCCCCTGTTTCATTGTCCTACTGGCCCTAATATTTTTAGATAAAACATAGGTCATGGGGCAGTGCCTATGGCTCAAAGGAGTAGGGTGCCGGCCCCATATACCAGAGGTGGAGTGTTCAAACCCAGCCCTGGCCAAAAAAAAAAAAATAGGTCGTGGTAAAGAAAAGAATAGCAAAATGAGAATCAGGACTGGTTCTGAGTCTGGTTTTTCTAATAGTGGAACATTTCTTTGGACATGAGGTTTTTTCAGCTGTTGAAATGAGGTTGACCTGGTGACCCATAAACACCCTTTAATTCTATCACCCTGTCATTCTGTTATTATTTAGTTGCATTGTGTTTTCCAGTACGTTTCAAATTTTGTTGATGTCTTTCCTCTCTTCATTACCTTTCTTGAATTCATGTATGTGCTTTTTTTAGTTTTAATACTAAATAGAAGATGTGTGAACTCTAGGGTTGTTGACTTGAAAAGAAATAAATGACCTTAGTACTGGAAATTTTTAAAGATTTTTCAGCCTATTGAAGAAATACAAATGAACACATTTAAAAAGCCTTACAAGGAAACAATTGAGGCCAAGTTATAGAGTATACACTAAAATGTCCATAAATAATTTTGGGGGAAAAAAATGTGTCAGAGTGGACAGTGCAGGGTGCCTAGAGAAGTTAGGTTCATATTGTTACGGAGACTCTCACCCTGAAAGCATGAGTGCCTTTGGGGACAGAAATCAAGGCAGCCTTTTATTTCAGATCGGGTAGCAGCAGAAGCAGAGATAATCTATATGGGACTGGGTATGGCAGAATGTGGAGAGGCTTATGCTGGGCAGTGTGAAAGATCTGGTTAGGTGGATAAGACAGAGGTGCTGAGTGAGATTGTTGTTAGTTTGAATGGCCTTCCTATTCCTGACTGTATCAAGCCTGACTCCTTTGAAAGAACTTAATATATGTTCCATTTGGTGTCACTTAAACAGAGTTTTGAATTGGGTAACACATATAAAACTGAAATGCAAGTAGATAAAACCAAATTTCCAAGAAATCAAAGTTAGGAAGACTCAAAAGTAGAGCCCTCTAGTATTCTGGTAATAAATAATCAAGACCTAAACTTCGAAGGGAAGGAGTCAGGGGGAAGGATACGAATGATACAAAATGTTTTGAAAATTTCAAGAATTTTCCAAAGTTGTTAAAACATTAAACCAAAGAATGTTTTCCCTTCTAGATGATTGTGAAAGCATTTAGAAAAGCATAAAAGCGCCTCATAAAAGTAAACAACCATATTTTTTCCTACATTACTTTGATAATTCAGAAGCAGTAAATCTGATGTTAGTTTCTCTGTCATATTCGATGGCTTTTGTCTTGCTCAGTGAATGGGGGCTCTTGGTCTGGTGAACCTCCCAGGAGGAACAGTCATACCTTCAATTGTCGGATGCTGGTAAAACCTTTACCGGATTCGGAAGAGGAAGGCCATGATAACCAGGAAGCACATCAGAAATACGAAACTATGCAGTGCTTTGCCGTCTCTCAACCAAAGTCCATCAAAGAAGAAGGGGAAGGTAGGGCCAAGTCTCCAGGAGAGTCTGTGTGTCTGTGTCTTTATTCTTTTGCTATTTCTGTCAATAATCTAAAACTAGTGGTCACAAAAAGAAAAACTTAGAGGAAATATTTACTGTTTTTGTGATAAATCCTCGTTTAAGTCTCTGTCCAGCAGAGTTTTCTGCAGTGATGAAGTGTGGTACTTGCAGTGTCCATTGTGGCAGCCACTGGCCATGCCTGGCTGTCAAGCACTTGAAATGAATTTTTAATTCTGTTAAATTTACATTTAAATAGCCATGTGTGGCTAGTGGCTATTCTAGCAGCTCTGTTCAGGGTTAAATCTCTTGAGGATCATAGGTTCCTTTGAACAGGGAATGCAAGCTATGTGCCACAGCCCTAGGAAAATGCACACAAGTACAAGTGTTTTTACTATATTGTACAAGTACAAGTATTTTTATTATACTTTCAAGAAATTAATGGACTCCATACAGCTTATCTGTGGATGCTGGGCCCAGAGTGTGTGTAATCAAATGGTACTGAAGGGAGGACAGAGATGGGAACGGGGAATGGAGGGGATTTCACACTATAAGCTCATTAGCATGTTCTGTAAAGAGAGGCTGATGTCAGGTCCCCCTCCTGTGCGTCCCACACAGCTGTACCACACAGCTGAGCGTCCCTCCCTGGACTCTGAGGCAGTGTTGAAAAGGGCACTCTGCCTGTGTAGCAGGAGGGAAGGTGCTGAGGACCACTAGTGAACGGAAACATCCTGGGCTCCATAATTAGGCCAGGTCCTCATTCCACCACTTGCCAGCTCTGTGACGTAGGGGAAGTTCCTTGACCTCTCTGAACATCAGTGTATTTACAAGGGAGGTCGCCAGTACCAGTATCAGGATGTAATAAGGATCACATGAATAGGCCTGAACCATGGTTGGCATTGAATGCTAGCTATTTAATGCTTTTTATTTAAAATATGTAAATATTTTTAAGTTCAGATTTTATTGGGAAGGAAAGTATTAGACCTGTCCGAGGTGAAACACTATTTCAAAATTAAGGTTTTTGCTTAGGTATGGAGTATAAATGATTTTATTTTATGCAGTAAACTAAGTGCTACTAACACATCCATCTGTAGTAATAGTCTGAGGCAGTGTAAAAAGGGTACAGCTGAGCTAATGTATCATTCCGTGCTTTGTACTTAAACATTATGCATATAAAATTAGATTCTATGTGTTAACACAGTAAAGCATAAGAGCAGGGCTTCTGAGCCACAGTGTGCTCAGGTTTAAATCCTGGCTCTGCCAAAGTTTTCTCTAATGTGGTGAGTTAAATCTTTGTGCTGTGGTTTACTTCTCTGTTAAATGGAAATCTTGCTACTGACTGCCCTGTGGAGTTAAGATGATTGGATGAGTTGATAGGAAGGTGTTTATCTCATTGTATAGTAAGTGCCCCAACATTTAGCTTTTATTTTGTTGAAGATGATGATTCCATTTTAATTTCGTGATACCAGCTATTGCTGGGTGTATTTTAAGAAATTCTCAAATTTAAAGATGAATGATCATAAACTAATGACATAAGAGGATACATAAGGTATGAAGAGACTATTTTTTCTTTTTCTTTTTCTTTTTCTTTCTTTCCTTCTTTTTTTAAAGCCAGGGTCTTGGTTTTGTCACCCAAGGTGGGATGCAGTGGCATGATCTTTGCTCACTGAAGCTTGAACTCCTGGCACACGCAGTCTTCTTGCCTCAACCTCCCACATAGGTGTGACTATAGGTGTGCACCACTGTGCTTGGCTGAGGCTACTGAAGTTTTTTGCTTTTTTTTTGTTGTTGTTATTGTTGAGAGAGTCTCACTTTATTGCCCTCAGTAGAGTGCTGTGGCATCACAGCTCACAGCAACCTCTAACTCTTGGGCTTAAGGAATTCTCTTGCCTCAGCCTCCCAAGTACCTGGGACTACAGGTGCCTGCCACAATGCCTGGCTAGCTACTGAAGTTTTTTAACAGCCTTTTGTCCAGCACTTTTTATGCTGAAAGGCTGTACAATGTGTTCTGCATGTTGCAAAGATAAACAAAACTTTTCCCCGTTCTCTGGAAGTGACCCTGACACATAACGCATTTAGGTGAGGTGAGGAATGAGTGTGTGGCTCTGGCTGTGTGAGAAACTAGCCATGGCCGAGATTCTACACTGTGACCAGCTCTTCTGGCAAGTGTTGCGTTTTCTAGGTACTGTGAGACTCGTCCTCCGAATCTGTGTCTAGACCGATTTTTATTCTTAGTTTTAAGCCGCACATTGCCATTGTAGAGGTGCTTACATAGTTCCGGAGGTCTGTCTCGGTTTCCTGTATGTTGGTGAACGTTAGTACTCAAGAAGCAAGTACTTGACAGTGCTGAGTATTGGATGTTAGTTTTCATGGTTTTTGTACATTATTGTGAAACAAGCTATCCTCCCTTTATAAGAAAGCATTCCATTCTTTTCCATCTCTGGGGAAATGGTGTCAGATTGTTAACTCTCTCTGATACACTTTGTCACATGGGTTGGGGGGCTTCAGAGAGTTCATCCTCTTAACCCCAGCCTACCCTACCCTGTGAGCCCTCCCTCTCCTCCCTCACCCCCTCACCCCAGCCTACCTTCCTCTTCTTTCCCCTCACCCCTCCCCTCTCCCGTCTGTGCTCCCCTCTCTCCTCTCCTCCCTCCTCTCTCTCCCCTCTCTCCAGACCTCTCCCACCAGTGAGAAGCTAAAGTACATAGTGTCTGGTCCCTGTTTCCCTCATTGATTCACAAGGTTGTGCTGTCATAAACACATTTGAATCTGTTTGAGTCACAAAGGAAAGCCCAATATGGTAAACATAAATATGTATGATTTAAGATTTGCAGTCCTGCTTGATTTGTGTGGCAAGAAGAGTTCCAATGAAGGAGAGACCAGTTCTTCCCTCATCAGAAAGTTTTACTACTCGCCAGGATCTCCAAGGTAAATTTTCTTTCCAAAAAAGATGAAAGAAATCATTTCAGAATACTTATAGATTATCCCAGGACTATATTTATGAGAGTATAAAGAAGCCTGGACTAGTGATTGCTGTTGGGGTGGAAATGTTGAGGAGCTG